TTTTTTTCTTTTTTTTTTTTAAGCTTTCATACAGTTGAATTTTTTTATAGTATAATTAAACCGATTTAACACGTGTTTTTCTTTTTTTTTTAACGAGGTTTATATTTTTGGAAACAGAGATTCGAATGAGCTGGCGAGCTGCACCTTACAAGTGGGTTTAAAACCATTGGGCTTAGGTGCGATCTAACACGTGTTTGAAGGTTTTGTCAAACCTTCCATCAATATTTGACTACAAACAAATTAATGAATATTTGATTACACTTTCCATGATGTACTAATGCGTGATGGTTCCGTTGCAAATTTAACTTCTCTTTTTTGTAATGTTTATTTTCATTTAGAGTGGAATAACTATGCCCTAACCCTATCCATCAATATGTATACATTATGATGACCAAGAAATGTAATTGCTCTCAACATTCACATGATTTTATGCATTGTTTCTGTTCAAAATTTAATTTTTTTTTTATGAATAAAAATCCAATTAATTTGATATACTAAACCCATGCCACATGCTTCTAGCCCAACGATGACTTCCCTTTCCCTTTTTGTTTTCATTCCTTTTCGTAAAGTATTAGAGCAATTAATGTTTCATTTTTTTCCATACACTTTTTACACATTAATTATGGTTTCACACAAAACTTTCTTTTTTATATTTTTCACACGTTAATATATAGTTCAATATTTTAGAAAACCTTAACTTATTTCATGTCACAAAACTTTTTTCTCTACACTTTTCACACGTTAATATATAGTCTAATATTCTAAAAAACCTTAACTTATTCCACACGTTGATATAATAAACCCACACCACATGCTTCTAGCCCAACGATGACTTCTCCTTTCCCCTTTTGCTTTCATTCTTTTCAATCAAGTATTGCAGCAATTAATGTTCTACTTTCTTTTCTACACTTTTTGTACATTAATTATGGTTTCATACAAAATTTTCTTTTTTACACTTTCCACGTGTTAATATATAGTTCAACATTTCAAAAAACCTTAACTTATTCCATGTCTTCCAGTTGAAGAATTCTCCATTACAATAATGGAATACTACATCAAAAGTATTCTAACCAATAAAATGTTTATAAGTTATAAGATTCTCTTTCCATCACATTCATTATAAGTTTTTCATGCTGGTTCTTGTTAATTATGGTTTCCACAAAAAAACTAGATTATAAACAACTATTAGTTGTTACATATCAACTATTAAATATGAATTTTCTTGAAATAGCTAAATCAAATAGGGGAGGAACTCTTGACTTTATTTTTTTAATAAATTGTTTTTAGTTCAACCCTTTTCATTGCCCAAATCATAACTTGTGAAGCATGTCTTCTCTATTGTTCTACCATGCCCACTAATAAATTTTAAACAAGGATTAGAGAAAATAAAAGAAGTTACTGTAATGTAAATCATTTTCCTAAAAGTATTTTTAGGTATTTATCTAAAAACTTATTTTCTAATTAATGTGATCAAAAATTAACCATTAGATTAAAAGTTTTATTTATATAGATTATGCATATCAATTTTCATACTAATTTAGCACTTATATTTAATATATTAAATTTTGTATAATCAATAAACTGACTAGACATACAAGATTAATCATAAAGTTAATATGTATGATTTATATGAATAAAACTTTTAATATAATATTAGTTTTTAAAATATTAATTTTAAAAAAAATTTAGAGATCCTAAAAAATATAGAAAGAAAGGCATGCAAAACATTTTTTCCAAAATAAAATGCAAAGTAAAAGGATGAGGGATAACAAAGACTTAAAGTATTACTATATAGTTGACCACCATAAGTGGTGATCTAGATATATCAAGAAAAGCTGCATTCCCCCATGTGGTTGCAGTGGCAGCCACGCTTCTCCAAAGTGAGAAGCAGGTGGAATGCACCCG